TCACCCCCACTATATTGCGGTTTATGTGGGCTTGTGACTTAGGGGGTGTTTCATAAATGCATTGACGTTGATACAGTGAATGTAATTTATGACCTATGGATTTCATAAGGGTAAAATGGGGTAGAGTTGTATGTGTGTGTGTGTGTGTGTGCGTGGGTTGGGGGGGTTGCATGAGAATGTGGGGGCCTCGGGCGTTTGAAGTTGCTCTTATTGCAGCTGTGAATTATTTTCCCTTTGATTCTCTTTGCTTGTAACTGTTAGATGAAGAAGGGATTCACATCGGGGCGGGTCACTGAGGATCATGGGAGCGGCTCCATGTACAAGAAAACAGCTGAGTTTAGGCTGCTCCGAAGTCGGCTGGAGTTTATCAGTGCAACGGTGGTTCACAAAAGTTGGGACACAGTTTATGGGATTATGAAATGATTAGTATAATTTCAAAACTAATATGTATTCTTATACATTTTGAAACTGGATCAGGAGTGATTGTTCTCATTTCAGATCTAGAGCCCAATTGAAAAACCTAGAGCTGGTCAGGACCAAAAGTTAATATTCAGGACAATACTAATATACAAATTGTCTTCTTAATGGAAAGTTGGTTTGTAGCTCATCTATGTATCTAATTTCTTATTTTAATTATGGCAATATCTTAACCACTGGATTACTTTACAAAGGAATACTGAATGTTGGATTGTCATTCCTGGTATTTTTTTCTGAATGAAAATTAGTTTATGTTTGGATTGAACCAAAACTTGATGGACATTGAGCCACTATTTTTTTTTTTTTTTTAGAGGTCTACCTGATCTCCAGAGCTGATGACGATATGTTTATGTGAACAGCAGAGCCCTGAGAATGTGCAGGGAAACACACAGCAGTTGTTTTTTTATGTGATTAGGGCTATAGTCAGAGTTTATGGACTAGTTTATTGTGACTGTAGAGACTTTGATCATCGCAAGTCAACAATGCGTTACAACACCTCCTCATTAAATCACGTTGTGTCCAGTTAAAACAACCAGGTTTGTTTTACATTGCATCATAAAAACCTGCAGCTTATATTCAAGTGCGGCTTAATAGTCCCAGAATGTACTGTTTTTCTTTCTACTCAATGATTAGAATAAATGAAAGGATGTGGTGTGTGAAGAACATTTAAAATACGGTAGAAACCTCTCATAAAAATCTTGTTTGAAACCAGGATTTCTTTAAACAACATTTTTCTATGATCATATTTCTTTCGTCATCAGAACTTGTCTCACGATTCCATCATATTTGTCTGTTTGTTTATTTGAAGTTTGGTCTATTTTATTTTATTTTATTTTATTTATTTTTTATTTTTTTATTTAACACCATGTGATACAGATTCCATAAAAAACATAAATTACTATGTACAACATAGTGGTGCAGAATATATTGGTGGGGGAGGGAAGGGGGAGTGGGGGGGGGGGGGGGGGGGGGGCATTTTTAAGGCATCCAGAACATGAAACAAAGAAAACAAAATACTTAATAAAAATAAAATACCTGTAACAAGCAAGTACTGTCGTGGAAATATGTAGGTGCTAATGTGTAAGTGTGGGTGTTAATGTATTTGAGTGTTTGTGTATATGTATAAATGTATGATCATATATGACTGAAGAAGAAATAATATATGAAGTTTGGTCTATTTTAGTCGAGTCAGTTTCATAGCAGTATCCCCCCATGAACAAACAGTAAACTACTATCCATTATTTGGTCAAAGAAATAGCATTACCAGCTCTGCAACATAAGGATTCAGTATCATATGTGTTTATTTTAGTGTTAGTTGAGCTGGAATCCTTGCAAGCATCACTGGATTCTCATCATGCATCTGAACTGCTTTGGAGAAAGACATAGAATTATAATGATTTTATATTTAAGCACTATCTTGGAACATGGAGGTCGAATTGCACATTATTATCGATTTCTCCTTTGGCTTCATCGCTGCAGCGCTCTCTTCCCTGGAGTCTTATTGTCTGTTTTGTGAAATCGCTGTTCACTCCCGCTTTTACAAGATCCTCATATTTCTGCAACACTTCCATCTCCCACTCTTTAATTTCACATCACTGTCAGCCTCTGCAATTTACGCCCAATCACTTCCAAGTCTCTCATTACTGTTGGCTTTCTTTTCAATTCAGTTGTTAAGGTATCTTTATGGTTAATCTTGGCTTTAACACCGGTGCAATTTTTATGTTTAGGAAGATAAAACAGATTGTTATGTCAATTAAACTTTCTTTCAATTCTCCTTTCTTCTTAAACTCCACACTTTGCTGTGTCGTGGCTTTCACTTCCTCTGCGGCCTGCTGTGTGGACATCCCCATTCGCTTATTGTATTTTCTTTGGAAGACCTACGTTCCAGTTCACCATGCTCTCATCATTTCTGCAACAGGGAATTCCCAATTAATCCGAGCCCGACTTAAAAAGGGAGGCTTGCACTTCCCGAAGCCCCTCGTGGCCTCTTCGACCCGGGACTCGAGCTCCATCTTTCACTGTTGTTTAAGTGATTTTTACAAAGGCTTTGCATGGGGTCCCTTTCATATGTATGGCCATAAGTCGTGGACTACACGTCTCCGATGACTAATTCTCAATGTCATCGCTCAGAACTGGAAGAGGGGGGGAAAGTTTGTTATGTGAAAACTTCAGACAAATAAGAAGGATTGCTTTATGCGTCTCTTGAATGTGCAGCCAATCTTTATTTAAGCTATTGAGCCTAAGGGGAAAGAGACTGCTGGGCCTCTAGACAGGGAGCCCCACCACATTGATCTTGCTGTCACTGTTTGTTTGTCAGATCATTATAGAGCCACAATGACCCTATTCCACTCATAATAGATTACAGTTTAAACATAGCATAAAAAACTAGGTTAAAATGCACACAAAATTAGTGAAGACCAAATATGGGGGGAGAAAAAGTTTATCACGTGTATACATTTTTGTCATAATTGTCATTTTTGTAATCAAACATGTCTTTTTTGAAAATCATCTAGAGTCATCAACTTTGAGAACATATTCTAGTGTGGTTCTGGAATCCAATCATAGACAGCCCATATCTCTTAGCCCTTCACAAAATTATGGTTTTTTCAACGTTCTCTGCATTTTTCACTGTTATCACATCCTTTAGAACCAATGCACAGCTCTCCAGTTTTCTTGATAAGTAATAATAAACCACACACTTGTCTTTTATCTTTCTTTATCTCCCCTGTCAGCATTAGCGTAACAAATCTCCCCAATAGGTAACCATGCATGTTAATGTTAATAAGTGGTCGATGTGCTATCCTCTTGGTTTCTAAATAGTCCCTTGTGTTTGCCCCATCACACACACACACTCACACGAACACACACACACACACACAATTTAAGAGGCCCTCCACCTTCCTGCCCCCTTCTGCCTCTCTGCGCGAGTGTCCCGGAGCGATAAGAACCAGCAGACACCGCTGTCATCTGTTTGCTCACGACATACCTCCTTTTGCTTACTTTACACCCTTCGTTCGTCCATCTTTCCTCTCCCCGCTGTCCACTGTCCCATTCGGAAGTGTTTTGAAGTACGGGTCAACTCTGTTTTTGACACGAGGCAGATCCCACTTTTGTTTTATCAGACTGGGATTGGTATGTTCGCTCTTCGGGCATGACTGATTCGCTATCCCGCGCAGCAAGTGTTGGCAGGGCTCCACCACAGGATAAAGCAAAGAAATGCCGCCCGTAAACTCCTGGCCCCTTGGTTTGTTCGCATGTCGACAAAAACGTGTTGTTCATAACACCAGACAGCTCTGGGAGATTGTAGGCCAATATCCTCTCTCGTGATGTTCGGAGAAGCCGGGGATATTGTTTCTAAAAGGCCTCGGGGTTTGCTAAGCGGGACGGTAGATGTTGGCCACCCCTTGACACCAAAGATCAGAGAACAAAATGTATAGGGCGTTACATAAGAAAATCATCTTAACCTTCAAGCAACCTTATCCGTTCTGCTTTCGGGCAAACTTTAATCAACATAATGCAGGGGAAACACACCTGCTAGTTTTAACATGCTGCTGGAAGTCGGGTTTATTATGTTAAGTTGAAAGGATTTCAGTAAGTGCAGCTGGTTTTGAAGTGTACTGTATATGGCAGTGTTTGAAATGCAAGGTCTGTAGTTTTTGTTCTCGCAATGGTATTAGCTCTATACAGTACAAATACTGTATATATATCAGTGAATGTTACCGTCTTCTTACATGGAAAATGTGCTACAAAATGGGTGTCAGTCAGTTTATAGTTTCACACTGATTTGGTCCATTTTAATATTATTTATACATTCCAATCTGGAAAATCTTAGACAAACAATCTTAGACAAACAATGTATATGTGTGTATTATATTTGTTGACTTATGCTGGTACATGGCTTGGTGATATGATTTGGTACGTAAAAATCTGGCAGATATCGCAAGGCGTAGAAGCTCAAGTGAAAACTGTTGAGGTGGTGATGGGGAGGAGGAGGGTTGCGGCATGAGCTGACGGTATACAATTGCAGAAAGGTCTGTTTAAATGCAGGCTGAGTGGCTGCACGTGTGGCTGCAAGTGTGTAAATCTGCCATCTGAAGTTGATTAGGGTTTAGAAGGAAGTGGTAGGAAGAACTGGAGTGAAAGTGGGTGAGATATTGCCCACAAGAAAACAGGAACCAGTCTTTCGGTCAAAACCTACACATTAACTGCTGGAATGTGAACGTATCCTCCATTTGGATTAGCTTCTAGGCTGAAAAACCAGTTATTAATCAATGCTTTGACTCAAAACTATAAATTAGAACTTTCAACAAGCATGTGGACCTTGAACCAAATAGCCATATGTAAAGTACAGTAGTAATTGTGAATTGTATTGTCTTAAAAACATTGTCTCCAGCTTATTTTAATTTTAATTTTTCTGGTATTAACATCCAACTTATATTTCTTGAATTGTTGTTTACACCAAATAGTTTCACCTTGTCGTTTGGGATCTTTGTCTCAACCTCTGCTCCTCTGTGTTCCCTCAGGTGGCTAAAGTGGAGTATGTGAGGAGAAAACCCAAACTGAAGGAGGTCTTTGTCCGGTTAGAAGACCACCTGGAGTGTGTGTGCACGTCACAGCATCACGTCATGGAGCACTCAGAAGCAGAAACAGGTAAACGTCCTCACATTGATTACGCTGGATGAATGTCTGAATAAAAGAATTTGAGAAGTATGTGTTTTTGATGCTGGTGCAACCGGTCCAGAGCCTCCCATCCATAGCCTTCCAGAGCGATGAGCTGGCTGTTTTCAGTGTGTTCAACTTTGACTTTTCTTGCTCAATATTGTAGTTCCAGGCAAAGCGGAAATTGTCAAGCTCATCAAAACACTGAAAAACCATCTCGAACATTGCACAACATTTATGATGAGGTCCGCCACCCGCTTGTTGCCATATAATTGCTGTGTACTTCAGTAAATGTAAAATAAATGTACTTCAGTATGACGTAAAATGGGTCAAATACACTTTTTTTTACTGCACACAAACCTGAAACGCCCTGAATCTCCTCTCCACAGATACGTCAAGTGACTTAGCGAAGTGAAGTCATTTGCTTGCGTCCAAAATAGCGGGAAAATATAATGCCATACTGTGGAACACCAACCTTTATATGAACCTGACCCAAAACCCAACCCTCAGCCAAGAAAGATGCATAGAAAGAGCACCTTTAAACATGGACTGTGTCACTTCTTTTCTTGTGAAGAGCCAACCCCCTACTTGATCTGTTGTTTTGCTTTTCATATCGTACATTCATATCCAATTAAACCTAATAACTACTGTATATCTTTATGGGCCAAGAGAGTGACATCCGAGTATTAGTACAAGAATAAATAAACACAAACTATAAAACTATACAGCAGGCACCAAAGACAAGCCTCAGTTTTATATTATCCCCTGCCATATCTCTAAAATGTACTTGCAGCTCAAGTCCCTGGGTTTTAAGAATTGTCACCTGTCTCACGCCTCAGGTCACCGGGCCCCTTTATTACCCGTGACTTGTCGCCTCTTGTCTGGTCTTTTTGCACTTGATAACCTTTACCTGAAACTGCCGCGCTCCCAAGCCGCCATGTGTGCGCGCGTCCAGAGGTGCAAATGTGTCCGAGAGCGCGTTTCACTTATGGCTGGGTGTCCAAAGGCTGCTTGGCATGACAGCAGGCTATTTGATCTCAAGCCCGTCTCTCTTACACTGAGCTGATAAGACTTTAGCTGTCGGCAGATAAGGCTTAAGTATTTATTATGTGCGCTATCTCTGCGCTTTTGTTCCATTTCTACTCTATAAACCCTCGCTCTCTACTTGTAACTACATTCTTGCCCCCCCCTCTTTTCCCCTTGTTTCCAGGGCCTCGTAGGGTTAAAAGTAAAAAGAGGAAAAATAAAAAACTAAAGGCCAGCAAGGACTTATTCGCAACGTAATAAAAGTTTTTTGCCCCTGGAGTGCTCAAAGGGGAACAGGTATGGATACTAAGCACGGCGGAGAGCATTCACCTTGGGCACTTTTTAATGTGTTAATCGATCAGGGCACTGGGAGATAAAAACAATCATCAATCACAGAACAATTATTGTAAGAGAAGGAGTCTTCACCGCTGCATGAGACCTGTGTGATCGCGGCCAACCGATCATTTGGGAGTTTTTCACCAATTCTGTCACCCGTTAAGCTGCATGAAAAGAAATCTGCACTGCATCTACACCAATGTTGTCAAAATTGAAAATGAAAGAAGAAATATTATGCAAATTGTCTTTTATTCAAGCTTTTAAACATGTTGCAACATTTATCATCATCATAAACACACCTGAAGTTGTTTTTAGATCCATATTAGAAGTTCTGGCTTTCTGAATGCTCCTGTCTCAAACCTGTAAAGTCATGATGTAACTGTACCGCTATAACGTCATGCTCAGAAAAGTTTTCTGCCTTTCAAAACGAAAGAATTGCCCTTAAACTATTTATTTCAAAGTGAAATTTGCAATTGCATGTCTATGTTTGCCGCTTGTAATTTTCAATTTTGAGATGAAATAAATAAATAAATACTTCAACTCCACCTTCTGGGGGTCATATAGGGATCTACAGGCAGAAAGAATTTTATTACCCTTCATTCTTGTTGTTGTTTTTTCGCTACTTAAGAAATTCTAAAACATAGAATGTTAAATAGTATTAGTATTAGTAGTAAATAGTATGTATTTTTAATGGACATAATTAATGCATAATATTTCTTCTTTAAGTCTAATTGGGAACATGTTGAATTTGTTAATGCATGATTTCAATGGTGTTGAAATTACACTTTTCTCTTGGAGATTGTTGTTGCTTCTTTATCTCATGTGTGTGTATCTTTTTATGTCCACAGAGGACGTCAGGTGAGAGCAAGGAGCGTCGGTATCGGTGCTCTCCTGAGAAGAGGATGGGAGAGCACGACTTCTCCCGCACCACAGTGCCACCTCTGCTTCAAACCCTGTCAAGCCAAGAGACTTTGAAATAGAAACCCAGAAGATGCCAAAGGTGCTTTTTTTTAAAAACAAAACTATGAGGAGTACTTCCTGGTGCTATGAGCCACTATTACACTCAGCTGCACTGGCAGAAGTGACGCGAAAGGAGAGAAAGTCTGGCCGGACATTTTAACGGACTTTTAAACAAGTGGATCAAAAGTGGGAATGCTTTTCTTGGATTAGGACACAGTGGTGGACAGCTTCCAACCGAGCAACATAAAAGTGCTGATTTAAAGACTTTAACAGGACAAAAGAAGATAACAAGAGAACTGTGGGAGAAATGTTTTGTTTTAAGGACTCTCTGTGGAGCGCTTAACATTTCCCAAAAACTGCAGCCGCCTTTGATAGTCGCTTGTGCCCCGTTCAGCTAAATCTAAAAAAAGAAGACGCACCGCTTCTTATAAACTATTTATATGTGTGGACATGTGTTTTTTTGTCTCTTTCAGTACAAACAAGAAAGTGAGATGTAATATTATGGAGACGTGCATGAACTTCAGTGTGCTCTACTTCTCTGCAATGTCACAATCTGAAAAGTGTCATTTTTTTATTCTGTTTCTTATTGTATTACACTAATGAGCAATGAGTTGATGTCTGGAGTTGTAAATGGTTTGGATGCGTGAAACAAGGAGGAGATGTGAGTGTCAGGAAGATGCTTTATTTTTGTTATAAAATATATTATGCTTACTAATATCTGTAAACATTTGTCCTCATTTGTCGCTGTTAAACGTAGGGTCTTAAAACATGGGAAAAGCATCGGCAACACAGACAAATTATGCAAATCCAAACGCGACTGAATACTTGAGCAAGTTAAATTGGGGCTCAGCGGAGCAACCATTCACAGCTTGCATGTCCGAAGGGGATGACACGTCCATTCATTCGGTATCACAAAGATTGCCGCACGCCCTGCGTCGCTGCCACACATGCGGTGCCCGCGGAGAGCAAAGTTCACCTCCACTGAACTCAAGGAGTGAATGAGTGAATGAGTGAGTCTGGAATGAATGGGCGTCTTGTTTAGTCAGTCTGAGCTCCAGCGCTGACAGGAGAACACAGATCACTCCGCCCTTTGAGGGAACTCACACCTCAGCAGCGGCGCACCCGCGCAGCAACATGTGTGTGTGTGTCTGTGTGAGTGTGTGTTAGTGTGTGTGTGTGTGTGTGTGTGTGTGGAGGTGCAACGTTAACTTATCCCTCAATAAAACAAATAATCACTTCCACAAGTTGCAAATAAATTTGCAAGTTGATCCTTACGCAAACAAGTTACATAAAGTGAAAGTCTAAATGGATTTTTCAGATACTGTTTGGTGCATATGTTCCTTAATTAATACTATTTTTATGGAGTTCAAAGAAGAAAAAACATTGGCTAAAAGTTGTGACAGTTGCAAATGTTTTGCAAAGTGTAACCGAACCACAAAACTGTAACCAAAGTGTAACCAAAGCCCTAAACTGGAGACAGTAATATATATAATATATACATATATATACAAACTTCAAGGGAATTGGTTTTAAAAATAAGACATTTCATAAAATTTCAAATCATGACTCAACAAAATGGACACCATTACAACATTTCATCTGCAAAAAATAAAAAATGAGCAATTACATTATTGTTTATCTACAATTAAAAAAAGGATAAAAATAATAGCCAGAACAAGAACAAAAATAGACAACTAAATAAAAATAAAAACCTTAAAATTGGTGATTCCTTTGTGTAAAGCTGGTGTACCTAATTTTCAAAGAAGGTAACTATTACATATAATCTGTATAACTATTCTTTGCTCTCTGGTTCTCTTGCCAGTTTCCACATGCATGTATTGTTGGTCTCTGTCACATCTTTAGATTGGGTTTTTCAAAAGTGAAAAAGAAAGGACCACCCTCACTCAATCAGCCAATCAGCTCCCAGCCCAAAGACTCAACAAGGCTCTTAAGTTTGAAAAAGAGAACATATTTTCTCATATGGTCATAACGGTATGTTGTGGTCTGATTTGTTCATTCATAACATGTATTATTTATGGTTAAAAAGGTTGCTCCAGGTTTACCTAACTTGATAATAGCTTAATTTATATGATTGATTGCATTTTCAGGGGCGACAGTAGCTCAGTTGGTAGAGCATTGGTTCGAGCCCACCATGAGACCCACCTCACGACTCCCACTGATGTCTGCTGTCGTTGTGTCCTTGGGCAAGACACTTAACCCCACTTTGCCTGAAGCTCCCGCTGAAATATCTCAGCTCCTGTGGACTCACCACCTGCAGGAGGATCAGTGAGGGGCTGGTGCTCTGTGACTGGGTGCAGCTCTGACTGCCACCCCCCCGACCCAGAAATGGATTCAGGGGAAGAAAATGGATGGATGGATGGATGGATTGCATTTTCAAATCTACACTGGCCCTGAGAATTCTGATGTGCTTCTCCTGACGTGATGCCTTCACAGTACACAGGAAATGTGAGCTTCTCCCGGCCCGCGGAGCTGGCAGCAGTCGGGCTTTGGTCGAGGATCCAGGGGCATCAGACGATAGGTGCAGAGGCTTTATTGCTTTTCCTCCAGCAGCTCGGCCTGATCCGTACAGCTAAAGGACATAAAAGTTCCTCTCCCCTGCACTTCCTGCTGCTGGAGGGCATTATTACATGGGGAAAGAGGTGGGAGGGAGTCTGATATAGTGATCCAGAGCATAAAAGAGAACAGGGATCAGACAGGCCACTGGGATCAAATGTATAAAGTACAGATAAAAGAACAGGCAGAACTTAGACTTTATTGTCTTTTTGTACTGGCATTCATTCATATTGTGCATGGGAAAGAGCTTATTGTGTGGGAAAGAGCTTCCAGACAATTTGAAACAATAAACCTTACACCTTTGCCATCTGTAGTTGTTACGGAACGTTGTAAATTCATGTGCAGCAGAAAAGACCATTCATTAAAGAAACACTTTATAACTTCCTCGTGGCACATGACTGCATTATTCCATCTAAATCAGTGGAGGTGCCAGTCACCCCCTTAGTTTGCACCATAACTCAAAATGTTCTGGGAACCTCTGCAATGGCAGAATAAAAGGGATGAAAAGTTCAGAGGCCATACAGCTCCCTGTCTGGAGGCAAGATTTTTGAAGGAATATCGTGCTGTGTGTTCGGCCATGTCCCTCTGAGAGAGCAGCCGGAGAAGAAGTGGTCAGTTTATTAACCTGTTTGTCAGTCTGGAACAGGACCAGTGCACAGACAGCATGCTATGGCTGATGTGCTACATGTGTTTATAAAACACTCATTCTGAATCATAAGATTCATAAAGTGACCATGTCACTGCCCGACTTTCATCCCTCCTCCTGTGGTGCACACATTTCCTGTCGCTTCTATAATCTGATCGAAACTCAAGGCTAAACATAACAATGTGACCAGTCTCAACTGAGGTCAGAGGCACACGTAGCACGAGTGACGTTTTCTCCTGTTTTGAAATAGCAAAGCTGAGAATAAGTCTGCAATCCAAAAGTACGTTTGAACAATTCTTTTGAAACTTTCTTTGCAGTGATTACACTGTCACACAATTAACATGAACAACTGCCATTAAATGGTTGTTTGTATTGTATTGTATGGGACAGTGTCCCAAATGAGCATTTGAACAACAAATCATCTCTGTCTATAATACATACATAATACAGAAAACATCACATTAAAGTGGAGCTGACATAAGATTGATGGATGGACGTAATTACAGGATCATGTTATTATTCTTGATCAAACCTAATGGGGCCACAGCACAGTGTGCAGAGAGGAGTTTGTGTTGTGACTCTTCATTGGAGGTCAATCGGTTGAAAGTAGAAAACTAAACTTTATATATTCTCTGAATGGCTGACTGGATTGAAATTGAATTGTGCCTCTTGGCAGAGCTCTGTGCTCTACGAGTGCTTTTCCTGTTGTATAATACATTGTTGTATGGGCATCTGGACCTCATCGAAGCTAGCTTGTCATTAGCTCGTCACCATTAGCAATACTGATTATTTCATTCATATTATTTGAGACAGCACAAAATAAGTGAGTGAGAATGTGCAAATTTCTGTTTGTGAAAAAACAAAAGATTTAAACTTTTTTATACTTACACTTACATACTTACACATAAAGCTAAACATAAAGAGCACTAGGTTTCTGAAGAAGTCCTTTGGATTGAGGACGAAACGTCGGGAAAACTTGCTAAGAAGTACAGATGATGGGTGAGAAACCTTCCTTTGCATAAAGAGCACTAATTTCATACTTCTGTTTTGGTGAAATATTTGATGAAATTCAACACAGTATAGTCTTTTGAATGCACTTTGGGGATAACAAAGTGCATTTTAGTCGACTGATCGGTCGGTAGGTCATGTCTTCAGTCGAAACTAGGAAGAAAGTTACAGTCCATGGAGAAACATGTTGTGTGCAGTGGAAGATTAGATCCAGTTATGTTTGTGGATCTGCAAGCACACAAAGGACTGAACAGGTGTTCACATTTAATTTCCTAGTGCTATAAAAAAAAGTCTTAGTATTTACATAGCGGTAAAATAACAGTATGGGGAGCTTCTGGAGTCTATCAGCTTATCTCTGTTTGAACCAGTGGTGTAACTCCAGTGTCACAAAAGGTAAAACGTCTCAGGTCCCGGGAAGTGAAAGTGCAGTGGGAAGAAAAATAAAGAAAAAAAGCGTTCTCAGGATGTGGGTAATGACGGCGAGGTTGCGAGGGCAGACAGGGCTCAGCTAAGTGGACATGCTTTGATAAACAATGCCAGGAGGGGGGCGGCGTAGGCCAGACAAGGTGTATGGGAGTGTGAGAGCAGTTATCCCACACAAAGGTCTCCTGGTGTGAAACATGGGCCAGTGGAATTCTGGGCCTTTGCACAGGGCAAACGGGGAACGGTCTACC